CAATAGTAAAGGTTCTGATATTATTAATTATTATTCAACCAAAATGTTTTACAGTTTCCGATATCCCCACAAATTCTCACGAACTTCTGACTCCTTGTATGTATATGAAATTTTCGCATTCTCATTATCTCAATTTCATTTGACCTATTCTGAATCTCATTTGACGCTTTCTGAATTACATTTAACGTTTTCTTAATAACATTTGACTGTTTCTCAATTACATTTGACTATTCTCAATTACAATTAACGAATTCTCAATTACATTTAACTATTCTCAATAACATTTGACGGTTTCTCAATTACATTTGACTATTCTCAATTACAGTTGACGAATTCTGAATAACATTTAACTATTCTCAATTTCATGTAACGCTTTCTCAATTACATTTGACTATTCTCAATTACAAGTGACGGTTTCTGAATTACAATTGGAAAAGGTGCAGTTGTGACGTAAGCAGCATGGCGTTTCTCGCCATGACGTAGGCTGTTTAAACAGCTGACGACTTAGTTATGACGTCGGAAATGGTATCACACCAATATAGCGCCGATTACCAAAAACAAGGCCGATAAGCACTCCTTAGAGTGTGTATTCTCATTGGCTTTAAAAGTCGAATTTTTAATTTGCCGCGAAAACGCTGGAACTGTTTGTGACGTCAACTCGAAAAACAACCAAAATGCTAGGATGCATAGGCGCCGGCAGCAGGGTGCACTTGCACCCCCCTGTCAGAAATACATTGAAGCGCGTCATCAACCTGTAGAATAGCGGGAATTTCGAATTTACTTAATTTCTAGTTTCCTAATATAAATTTCTTTCATATCTACGATTTGATATACCGAAAAAAGTATTAAATTGCAAGAAGCCCATACCACTTTCAATTGAAAAAAAATGGAAAGACAAGATTTGTGTACGGAAATTTAAACTAAAATAGAAAAATAATTTTTTTTAATGCTCAAAATAACCGTTTTTGTCGTGGCACCCGAAATAATTTTCGCGACGCCTGCGGCGGGCATTCACTTTCATAAATTAATAATTTCGCCCAATATAACAATCCACGCGCCGCCACTGCCTGTATGCACCTCCCTGAAACTAATCCTGGCGGCGCCCATGCTACGATGCCAAATTTCTCATTAGTACATTATTTCAAAACTCACCACCTAGAGAGACTATTTCCGTCCTTTTCTATGTTATAGAAAAATTGTCAAAATTGACGATTTTTTGTATAACTTGACTTTATTTGGAATATTTTCGAGCTAATTAGGTACACTTTGCTTTGTTATAATATACTTTTGGAGATGCAGAAGGAATATTTAAAGACTATAGAGTTTAAGACTTTAATCGTTTGACATTTGTTTACATTTTCACCTAGAGTTTTTACAGCAATAAGCAAATGAAGACCTACAAAAGCTTAGATTTTTACAAATATTTCGAGTATGGCTTTATTTTAGATGCAGGCACAGTTGTACTGACTAATTTTCACGTGTCAATTGAAAAGTTTGAAAACGATGGGCACTGAAAAAAACCTGACATCATCCTTGTTACCTTGCATTCATAGGTAGGTATCTACGTCAAAAAATATCATAATTTGCCATATTCCTGGGCACATGAAAGTGCAAGGAGAATACACACTCTAAGGAGTGCTTATCGGCCTCGTTTTTGGTAATCGCCGCCATATTGGTTTGAAACTGTTTTCAACCATTACCCACGTCATAACTAAGTCGTCAGCTGTTTAAACAGCTTACGTCATGGCGAGAAACGCCATGCTGCTTACGTCACAACTATACCTTTACAACTTCAAATTGAGACTTATCAGAATCAAATTGAGATTAACAAAATCAAATTGAGACTTAAAACAATCAATTTCAAATTGGTACAACATCCGTTTCCATGTAATTGAACGTTGTACCAATTTGAGGTTGATTGTCCTCAATTTGATTTTGTTTAATCTCAATTTGAAAATGTTTGTTCTTAATTTAATTGTGATAAGTCTCAATTTGAAGTTGTAAAGGTATAGTTGTTTGGCGCCGGGGTGTAGAAGGGGATTTGTTACACACACGCCTTATTAGGATAGGCACAGGGATCGGCCATACTGTAGTAGTAGTGTGTATCATCCTTAGTGAAAGTGGCCTATCGATTTTCTAGGTAAGTAAGTAGTGCGTTTTTATCTAGAGCAGTCGTAGAACAAATAATGATATGTGTATATCTGGTTACCTATCTTTCAATGTTCAAGTCGTCATGTATTTCAGAAATAAAGGACTAAAAAAATTATTATTCAAGGTTATAATTTATGAACAATTATGGTACGTACGCTGAATGCACTCATTGCACTCAGAGTTGCTTGCAGAAAAAAAATGCAGCGGAAGTGTAATTTTTGTTTTAGCGTGTGATAAGTACTTTTCGCACGCTATACGGAATATAATTATCTAGGTAAGTTAGTAGTGCGTTTTTAATAGCTTTCTAGAGCAATTGTGAAAAAATAATATATGTGTATATCTGGTTACCTACCTATAATATTTGATAAAAAAATAGAAAACTTTAGAGCAGTTTTGAGCAATGGTGTTTCCATTTCCATGACTGTTTCAAACCGGTTGTGAACCAATTTCAAAAAAGTGAACGCGAAAAAAACGGCTAAGTATTGGTATTGTAGATAATCGATTAGGGAATTTTTATGCTAACTTAGCCATTTCTGATGTGTGATGTGAAATTTTTTTCGCCTCTTTGCAGACGAGTTTTAGAAGAATCAATTAATCAGAGCACAGAACAATCAGAGCACAAAAATGACAGATTTCAAGGTCAATAACCCCCCTCAAGCCTTGTCAACATTATTTTTCAAATTAGTGAACAAGACTACAAGACAGGAATAATCATTTATTTGTTACAGAAACTGGATCATCCACATCTAAAATCTTTACATCCACGGAATTGAATTAATTACCAATTTACCATCATCATCAAGGACATCAAATTGAAAAATCTCGAAATATGGTAAACTTTAACGAATTGCAGTATTCCTTTACAATTAATTAAGGACACGCACTATCCTTCATGAGGGATTTTTTATTACTGGAACAAACTGCGCATGCGTAGAAATTACCAAAACGCGAAAGTCAACCTTAATATTATAGGCTAGTGCCTGTTCTTATTTTTACTCCCATCTCTATTATTTACTTCAAAACCAAAAACTAGTGATGGGCAAGGCGAATATTACCCAAGGAGAATATACACTATCATCGGCCTCGTTTTTGGCAATCGCCGCCATATTGGTTTTCAACCATTGCCGACGTCATAATTAAGTCGTCGTAGGGAAGGATTTGTGACACACAGGCCTTATAAGGATAGGCCATCCTGTAGTAGTAGTGTGTATCATCCTTGAATATAACCAACGTAATATTCCGTAAGTTACCGTAATTTATGTAATATTAAACAATGCTCTAAGGAATATTACCAATATACGGTAATTTAACGTGAAATTCTCAGTAATTTTTCAAGGAATATTCTCGAGAATATTGATAATATTGCTGTAGGAACTACCATACGCGCGGACCCATCATACAACACGTTCTACACTATACTTATCCTTGGAGAATCTCTATTTTTGTTTAGTTGTATTTCAAAAAAATGATTAAAAGTAAAAACCATTTGCTTGATGTTTTATTTGCAAAATATTACTGAAATAAACAAGATAAAAGCTTAAAGCAAAAGTATTATTAACAAAAATTCAAATTTGTTCAATTTTTCAGGAACACCGAATATTACGCAAAATTACGTAATATAATGTAATATTCGTCACAAAAATATAAATTACCGAAATTTTCTAACACTGCCAAAAACCAATCTCACAAATTTATTTTTTTACACCCATGCGGAAAAATCAATCGGTGCAGATTTTTTTTTTTGCATGGCTGCAAAAATTATAAATTGCTACAAATTAAGTATACTTATTTCTGCACGCCTGCAACTATTGTACCTAACACTTGCGGAAAAACAAAAATTTCAAAATACATATCTATTTTTCATAAAGGGTAAGAGGTGGTAAGTTGAATTAAACAATTAAACTGATCAAAGCCAACATTTTCAAAAATAAATAATCATTTCGACATTCCTCACAATTCCTTTATTTCATCCAATATTGAATTGTATTTCTGTGAAAAAAATCTGTAGATATTATTTTTGTTCCCAAAATCAAAAATTATTATCATTAAATTGATATATTTCTCAATTCAATTATTTTTGAATGCGCCCCTGTATAGAAAATAATTAGAATCCATTTTGGAATCAAAACAAAGGAGAGAACACAAACAAAAAGAATAAATTCGTTTACTTTTACATCTCCCCCCGTACTGATCGGGTGACGCCTCTGACGTCAGCAATCGCAATCAACCAGCGAGCATTTTGACATTCGAAATCCACGTCGACGTTGAATATTTTTTCAGTTTTTTTTGCATTTTTTTCACATTTTGCGCTGATTTTTCCCATTTTTATTTGGTCAAATAGAAAAAGTCATAATTGAGGTTCATTTTCAGCTTAAAATTAGATAAATCGCGAAAGAGCACATTTTGAAGGTTATACACGTAATCCAACACAAAATCGATATTTTGGGTGCCCCAAATTATAATTTTACCTGTTATTCAAGATGTTTTGCTTATTTTTCATTGTTTGGGGAAGTTTAGTTTTCCAAAACAATATTTTCAAGAAAAATTGCATCATTGTTTATTTTAGTTCAAATAAAATACCTACCTAATCAAAACATAATTTTGGGCATTAGAAAATTGAGAACATACATTTTAATTCAAAAGCATACAATTAGGATAAATGTTCACTAGGCAATAAGAACGAATATGTAATGTAAATACATTTATTTTGATATTAAACATTTTCAAAATTTCCCTTTATAAACAAGGTAAGTAGGAAATTTCAATAAACCAAGGAAATAAATACGAAAGAACCTCCTCACCTAGATATAAATGTTTAAATAGATAATTTTTAGATAAAAAATTCTTACCTAGGCACTGGCAACTCCAAAATTTCTAGACGAGTCCATATTCTAGTCAAGTGGGAGCGGGGATCCCTGGTGCTAGTCACAGGAGGATATGACTTATCACCAGGCACAATACCATCATATCTGTACAATTTCGGCCCCCCTTTAACCAAGCACGGGTCAACCAGCAACTTGTAGTTTTTTGGCTTTGTAGGTACAGGACCATTATGATTATGATGATTACTATGATGTCTATGGTCCATCCCGTTCATTTCTGTTAAACAAAACATGATGAAAAGGTATATTATTAAGAAAATTGGTAAAAACTTACCCTATGGTAATAAAACTTTAATTGTATATCAAAAATTGACAAATAAACAAGACAATAGGTCAAAAATTAAGTCTCAACTAGGATCAAACTTTAAGATGGTTGGCATTTTCATTTGAAGAAAATTTTAAACCAAAACCGTAGTACATTGACCAGAGGAATATTCTTAAGTCCAAAATTATTTGTTTTGGAGAGAAAAAAGGGACTCTTTTAGAAATATTTAAATGAGACGCAGGCCTTAACCTCGATTTGTCAAAAAGAATCCAAAAAATAATAAAACTTAACGGTATATGTTGGAAATTTTCGGCACTTTTAATACTACGAGCTTGCGTTTAACATTTTTATTGGAAAAAATCAATATTTACAATAAGAAATTGTTTATTAATATTTTTAGAAAAATTAAAAGCCACCATCGATCTCAGTCACGGATTGACCAACACAACCTTCTATTTGACTGTCGACATGTTTTCGTTTTGTTTGTTTGACAGATGATATGTACCGTTTCTATTTTTGGTTACTCTGTTTGACATTTTTCTCCAGTTGTTCCGGGATTTTCGAATTCTTTACTACATTTCGTAAAATACGAAGTTTTACTGACAGCAATGTAAATTAGATGTTAAGCATTCGAAATCGTATCCAATTTCGTATGCGAGAATATTCGAAAATACGAGATGGCGAACTACACTTTATTTTTTTCCAAGATAGATTTTGACATTGAAAACTTTGAAACATAAATAATAACGCTTGACCCTGATTGGTCGCAAAATGAGGTGTTTCTGCAGGTTGACATCAGTTTTACAATAGCGACCAATAAGCGGCATTGTTTATGTTTCAAAGTTGACAATGCCAAAATCTATCTTGGAAAAAAATACATAGTAAGGCATGAGTGCAATTTTTGTCAATCATTTTGGGCCCCGAGTGCAGGTATTTACAATTTCGATATTTGTTTGACAGACCCATAATATAGCACTTGGACCCCGAATGTATTTCGGAGTTACTCTGATTTGCTCCAATCACTTGAAAACGGCTCGAACTTTGACCTTCGTGCTGTCACTGCAACAGTGTCAACGGCCAATTTATTATATTTATTTATTTACTTTTTAAATAATCGATCTTTACTTTGTACTTTGTATTTGTTTTTGTGTTGAATTGTTAAAAAATAAAAAAAAAAACAAATATTCAATTAAAGTTGATATCAAGGAGTTATATTTTTACTTCCTAACATGGCTGATCGATTAACACAACTTCAAGATTGTATAAATCAGGTAAAATATGTAATTCATCTTTTTAGGGGCTTCGATTTTGATTTGGTGGATTTATATGCCATATATGCAATTCAGTAGATAATAAATTATTCAATGTTTTGAAATGCATTTCTGTAACATACAAAATTGTATCTACAACCAATTCACGACACTCTTGTTCAAGGTCTATAAACCTAGCAGTCCCAAGGTGGAAAAAAACTTCGGGAACTATATAATAATTAGGTGCTAATTAGGGCCTCTAATTAAAAATTAGGTGCTCCTTTAGTTTTTGAGAAAATCAAAAAAAACTAGGTTTATAAAAACTAGCAGTCCCCTATAGTAAAAAATATTTTTTCAATTTTTTTCTTTGTATCAGAATTAGGTGCTTTTTAGGTGCTCCTAATAGTCCAAGAAAAAATAGAATTGATTAATTATTACTTAACTGAGTTACAGATTTTTTTTAATTATTAGGGGACTGCTGCCTTTACGTTTACATGTTGGTGTGTCAGAATGGCAAAAAAACTTCGGGATCTATGTAATAATTAGGTGCTTTTTAGGTGCTAATTAGGGCCTCTAATTAAAAATTAGGTGCTCCTCCAGTTTTTGAGGAAATCGAAAAAAAACCTAAGGGATTGCTAGGTTTATGAAAGTAAGTAGTCCCCTAGAGTAAAAAATATTTTTCCAAAATTTTCTTTTGTATCAGAATTAGGTGCTTTTTAGGTGCTCCTAAATAGTCAAAGAAAAAATAGAATTGATCAATTATTAACTGAGTTACAGATTTTTTTTTAATTATTAGGGGACTGCTGGCTTTACGTTTACTTGTTGGTGTGTCAGAATGGCAAAAAAACTTCGGTATCTATATAAAAATTAGGTGCTTTTCAGGTGCTAATTAGGGCCTCTAATTGAAAATTAGGTGCTCTTTTAGTTTTTGAGAAAATCAAGAAAAACTAAGGGACTGCTAGGTTTATGAATGCTAGCAGTCCCCTATGATAAAAAAAAAAAAAAAATTGTAACAAATTCAAAAACAGCTTTATTGTCATAAAAAAAAAGATTAAAACATCTCATTGACAAAGCAGAACTAAAAACTAAAAAAAAAAAAAATACCAAAAATATATTATATTATGTTTTAGGTATTTTTTTTGACTTGTAAAACAATATTAAAAACACAAAAAGTTGACAATACAAAGAATATATAATAAAACGACGATACTAAAATTACACAGGAGGTCATACAAAACATAAATTAAAGCGGGTCTTAAATAAAATAAAGTATAAAAAATCACAGTCTAAAATATTTTCGATTTCTGAATAATAAGCTTTGTTCAAAAGTAATGTTTTCACTTCTCTTTTAAATTTTCTTTCATCTTCTATTTTTCTTATACTTTTTGGTAGATGATTAAATTAGGGATGCGCACGATGTATCGATGTTTCAAAAACATCGATTTTCGTATTTCGATGTTCGATGTTTATATCGATGTTTTTTTATTCGATATTATTAGAGAACATCGATATTTTTTTGCGATGTTTTTTCGATGTTTTCTTCTAAATACTGCACCAGTACTTTCAGTCCCTTAGCAAAATTTAATGAAAATCTATTTGTTGAACATTGGGAAGAAATAAAGAGTGTATATCTGCGACTATCAAAGATAGCATCAAAATAATTGAGCGTTGTAGCAGCTTCGGTTCCATATGGGAGACTATTTTCAAATGCAGGACAAATTTTGACACAACACAAGAATTATATGGAAAAGGAAAAAAATAGTCAAAATTGCTATTCTTGAATAATAATTGTGATTCAAATATGATTGTTACTCGGTATTCATATCATTTAAGTCAAGTATCTAACTAGATTTACTCCCTATAGTGCTTAGTTCTTGCTATTGTTTGCTTTCAAATGTACTTTTTCTTCATTATAAATCGTCTATTCATTACGTGCATGCATATTATATTAAAAATACATAATATTAAGTAGGTTAAGTAAAAATGATATTCTATTTATTACAGTTGTTGTTGTTGTTGTTGTTCTGTCAATGGCTTTGCTACTAGGCAATTGCCAGCTCGATTCCTTAGTGTCCACGGGATGTCTGGCTCGAAACCATGTCGTGGCCACTGAACTGTTGAAAATTGAGCTACAATACTATATAGATTATTATTAGCAAACTTTTTGTGATTTTACTGGGTAGTCTGGGTACATGTAGAGCAATTAATAGACATAACAACAGAGGTTCAATGGTAGCACATCAAAACACGAAAACTGGAAGATCTGGAAATAGGGAAACATTAAGTTGAGCATTACAGTTTTATTTTGTTATGATTGAGAAAGTTCATTATGATACAACTTGCTGCTTCATTCATAGAAGACAGTATGGTGTAAATTGTCATGGGAGTACTGAATCCTAACTCACGGAACTCTTTATACATATCAACGCCCTGTATGAAGTTAATAGGACATTCAAATATAATGTGATTCAGGTTCTCTACCTGTCCACACTCACATAAGGGGTCATCTTTTATATTAATTTTATAGAGGTGCTCTCCGGTTAAACAGTGTCCGATGCGCATTCGTATTATGGTGGTAATATGTCTACGATTTTTGTAGGGGAAATCAGCATACCATTTCTTTTGGCAAAATTCTGACTGTACCTTACAGTATTGATAATTTTTATTTTTTGCCGAAATTCTCCACTGATCCTTATACACAGTGTAGAGTTTTTGTTTAATACTATTATATACATCTTTAATGTCCAACAACATTTGTTTTGGAACGTTTAAAATTCTGCCAATATTAGCAAGTTTGTCCACAGTCTCATTTTCCTGAATACCCGAATGTCCCGGGATCCAGGCCAGTCTGAAATCGAAACCATTTTCACTAGATGAAAGGATGAGCTTCTTTGTTCTTAGTGTCCAATAGTCGGCTACCGCATTATGGAGATTACTGTTTATTTTCTGAATAGCAGACAGAGAATCCGAGAAGATAATAGCGTTTTTTAAATGTTTTTGAATGGCCGTCCTTACTGCATCATGAATTGCGATGATTTCTGCCTTACAGATACCAATATTGTCTGGTAGTCTGCAAGAAAATCTATGATCTATATGTGGTATGTAAATTCCGTAACCCAACCTGTCATCTTTTTTAGAAGCGTCTGAATAAATAAACAAAAAATTGTTAGAATATTCATTTTTTACCGCAGCAAATCTCGCCTTTGCTGCTATATCACCTTTCTTTATCTTACAATCAATAGTTTTCAACGGGGACGTTAGAATTTCATATTCTACCTCATAGCAAGGAAAATTAACACCATTATAGACTTTATTCAAGAAAGGCAAAAAATGTTGCAAAGTTAGAACTAAGTATGGTATGTTGTCATTCTCATAAAAATCACGACCATTGATAAGCTGCCTACGACATTCCAGCATTAATTTGACAGTCGGATGATCTCGAATGGCCAACAATTTCATTATAAATTTAATTGACAGCATTTTTCTCCTTTGTTCTGGTTCTACTATTGCCGCTTCAGAAAGGATTGCTAATCTAGGCGATGATCTCATGCACCCCAAACATATTCTCAACCCTTCATAAAATACTTTGTCAATCTTATCAAAATTCTTCAGACTACCTGGTTTAATAAAAATTGCACCAAAATCCAAGTGGGATCTAACCAACGCATGAAAAGCTGTTAACATAGTACAGGGATCTGCTCCCCACCAGACTCTACAAATGGCTTTCAAAACATTCAAAGATTTTCTTGCTTTCGTTGTGATTAGCTCCACATGTGCATCCCACTTGAGATGGTTCTGAAACATCACTCCCAGATATTTAACCTGCTGTCGAAAAACAATGGATTGATTATTGAATCTAATGGGTAAAGGAATTGTTTTTCTTCTGCCTTTTGTGAACCACATCGCTTCACACTTGTTTGGTGCCAGGGATAGGTTGTTTTCCCTTAACCAATCATCTATCTTTTCCAAAGCCAAATTTATTTCTGCAAGCATTTCCTCCAAACAATTACCCTTTATGCAAATCACCAGATCGTCTGCATATCCAATCAGAGAGACATTTCCCAGTTCCAATTTAAAGAGTTCTGCAACGTATACGTTAAAAAGAATAGTACTTAATGGAGAGCCTTGAGGTAGACCCCTTGTTGCCAGAAAAGGGCCCAATAATGTGCCCATGTTAGTTTTGCTATATAGTAGTCTTGTCCTAAGAAATAAATGAATGAGATTGTTGATTTCCGGTGGTATGTCCAATGTTTGGAGTTTATTATATAGTCTATATATGTTTACATTATCATATGCGGCCTTAATGTCTAAAAAAACTGCCACCACTGTCTTTGAAGAAAGAAAAGCATCGAATATATACATAGATAAATAGGCTATGTTGTCATAAATTCCTCTTCCCTTCCTAAAACCCAACTGATTATTATTAAATTTTTGTTTATTTTCTAATTGCCAATCTAGTCTGTTTTTAATCATAGTTTCTAATATTTTACCCCCACAAGGTGAAAGTGCAATGGGCAATGGGCCTATAATTCTCAGCCAATGTTGGGTCCTTATTTGGCTTCAAAAAGCTGATAACATTAATCTTTTTCCAGGATTGTGGGATCTTTTCTCCCATTAGGTTTTTGTTAAACAAATTCAACAAAATTTGTTTTCCTCTTAAGGGTAAATTCCTGAACATCAGGTAGGTAATGTCATCCAAGCCTGGTGCTGAAAGTTTTTTATTTCTTAAAGCAGATTCCATTTCTTGCAGGGAAAATAACTTAATATTGTTTACATCATCGGGGGGGACCATTAAAAATTCCGGATCAATATTGATGCTGGCCATATTTTGTAGAATGTTCAATTTTAATTTGTCATCTGTCATACAAAGGTTATTATTTTTGTGAATGTTGGAGAATTTTTTAATTTTGTTCCAAACATAGCTAATATTTGAGTTCCTATTCAGGGATTCACAGAAAGTAACAAATTTTTCTCTTTTTTTCTTTTTTAAATTTCTCTTTACCACCGCCATTTCTCTTTTT